TGCAGAAATCCGAGTGTTTGAAAAAGAAACATGAATGCGGCCAGAATGAAGGGAACTGGACTCTTAGCAGGGGGAAGTTCTTCCTAGTGTTCCCAATGTTTTAGTAGGTTTTTGGTGCTAGAAAGTCATAAAATCAGAGTATTCCAATCCTTCTCCACAATTTCTAGATTTTATGAGCTTTTTAGATCTGAAAAACGGGATAAAATCCTACAAAAAACAAGAAAAAAGTTGTGTGTAGTCCCTGCAGAATTCCGAGAAAAAAATTGGTCTTCCCCTTGCTAAAATCCGCTAAAATCCACTTCCCCTGCTGACAGTCCAGTACCGACTTCCCCCGACGGGTCGATCTCCGACACAAATTGAGCTTACGTTGCCGATACCATTTTTGCCTTTCCATTGTGATTTTTGGAGTGTCTTTTGTGGGGGAATTGGTGTTGATACTTGTACATTTATGATTTCTCTGATGTATCAGCGAGTCCAATAAATTGTCACCTTACCACCCACTCCTTCCGAGAATGACAAGCAGCATTGATAAGCTTTGAAAGCTGGGATTAAATGTTGGGGGAATTCTCACCAAGCGTCAGCCTATAAGGAAAGGATTTGGGAAAACGGACACATATGAAAAGGTTTAGCTCTAGTTTCGGCTAGCGGGCCGAAGGTACGAATGACGCTAAAGGACACAGTTTACTAGGTTCCTACACATTTTGTTCTCTCTCTCTCTCTCATCCGCTCTCTCCCTTTCTCTATATCTCTCGCTCTCTCGCCCTCTCTCTCATTCATTCTCTCTCTGTCTCTCTCCCTCTCTCACTCCGCTTTCACTCCCTCTCTCTCCCACTCTCTCTCTCTCTGTATCTCTCACTCTCCCTCTCTCTATATATCTCTCTCTCTCGCTATCTTTCTTGCCTTGCTTTTATGCATTCCTGCAACCGTGCGACTATTACAAAATGCTGAGAAATGCACCGGTGCCTTTCCACCCGTTCCGTCCAGAGGAACGCTATGTACGGGTTCCTCCCCGTTCCCTTTTTTCCGCGCAGAAACTCTTTGACTATCGCCGCTGATCGGCGGTGATCCTGATTTGCGACCTGCTCCTTCCTCCTCCTCCTCCGGCTCCTGCTCTTGCTCATTCCCTGTTCCGCCCACAACATCCCCTCGTTAATTCAATTGCGAGCTTTGGCCCGCCCTCCATGCCCCCTTCAACAGAGAAATCCCTGTACCGCCACGGTTCAGGTGCGCAACGAGGCCACTTTCGAAACTGAATAATCTCATCTTGTGCACGAATTCGTGGCGTTTTTGCTGGGCCGGGCACACACAAATACAGCACAGCACGGAATGCACAACTTTACGCAACAGGTTGGTCCCTCCAAAAACAAAGTGATGTTAGCGGTTTTTTTCTTTGTTCACCGGTCGCCATTTTTAAAATTTTGGTGCCCCGAAATACCAGAATAATTAAACAGAAAGCAAATTACTACTTTATTTAAATGCTAAAAAAGGTTTAACTCATGTTATAAAAATCATTGAAAATGAGATTTTTTGGACGGAAATTAAAACTCTTAGTAAAATTTTCGACGCTCTATCCGATCGCGTTTTCAAGATAGCAGGATATTCTTTATAAATCCAAAAATTGTTTCCATCCCCCTTATTTGCTTCCCGGCCCCCGTTAAGCGACGTTTACCAGTTTTTCATACATTTGTGACGAAAAACTCAAAATTTTGCGAAAATTCTATAAGTTTTAGCGAACTTTTCTCTATCTGAAAACGGTGTAAAATGGCATAAAAATTGTTAATGATCTGTGTGTAGAAGCGTGCCGAATAACTGGGAAAAATTTAGTTCCCCCGGTTAAAATCCCCCCCGCTAACAGTGGAGTACCGCAAAATCGTTTTAGCTAGAAAAAACCGTAATAGAAAATGTCATATTGCCTCGTTTTCCGTTTTTATCATATACACCCAGATTTCAATTTTTTTTCTTTGTTGAAATCACCTCTGAAATTCCCCAGGCTAACCCAGAGAATCGAGTCCAATATATTTGGCAGGTTCCCTCTGATGTGTGGCCGAAATTTGACCCCCGGCTGCCCTCTTTCATTTCCTCCACCCAACCGCGCACGACTTCAATTCAGCCTTCCCCATTTTCCAATCTTCGCCGCCAAAGAAGTTGAACCCGGAGGGGCCATTTCTCATTTTGGGCCGTTCATTTGATCAGCGCTAGATTTTCTGCTGATTTCAGCCGGGGGCTAGAAACTAGAGAAACTACAATGACCGGGCGTTTAAAGGGGCTCCGAAATTTGGTCCACGGCCTCCTGCGTTGATTCCTGGAAAATAGCCAGGTGCGACCGCCAAGTGATCGCGCCGCGTGATCTTTTGCCCTGTTTGGACGTGAAAACAATTTATTTAAAAATTCTGAAGCTATTTAGGTAATTAAGATCGAATTTTGATCATTCTAGACTTTTTAATGATGAAAATTGATCAGAAAATGACCGAGAGGGAGCGATTGGGTGCCTTCCAGGGCATTACGACATGTAATCGTCGCGCAAACAAAATGTCGTTTTCGCCCCAAGAACTTTTCCGTTTTACACAAATATTTTACGTTCTTCGCAACGAAATCGCTTTTCTGGTACTTCTCGGTAGTAACCGTTTCCTTTTTTAACCAGGAGGTTTAATCCCCGCTCGCGCGAATTTTGACTTCCGAGCCCCTTTAAGCGGCCAAAACGCCTGCACTCCATCGGGTCAACCTATTCGCGGTTGAACTCACGTATTTCAGGTGTTTTCGCATATAATACAAGCACATAGCGCACATTTTTTGCCCGAAGTGCAGGCGCAGTGTCAGAAGACCTCGTTGGACCCTGAGAAGGCCAGAAATTAGGCCAATTTCCCCTGAGCATGGCCCTCAAAATGGCGCAAAAAGGGTCCGAACCGGATGTTTTGGTTCGTTTCCCACACCTCGTTTTAGCGACGTATACTTAGCCTATAACTTTTCTAAGTTCTACTTACTAAAACCCCCCAAATTCCCCCAAAGGTTCCCCTAGCATATCCTCCAGAATCTGCGAATTTTTACTAAAAACAAGACACATTTTTCCAAATAATTTTTTCGCTCTGATTTTCCCAAATTCTTCGAGAGAAAGCAAAAATCGAGAAAATGCATTGATTTCGGAGGGCTCATATCTCGGCCATCCAGTGTCCAATTTTGATGATTTGAACATCTATCGATATCTACTCCTCAAGAGCTATCGATTGGTGTTAAAGGTATTGTATGTAAATAACTGTATGCATAGATACGACGCTCAGCAGCTTTCACCTAATTTTCTCGGAAACTTCTTAGGGTTGGCTCTGGCTTCCATAATTTCTTGGGGGTTAGGTGGGTCTTTCCGAGGAAGAGCATCCCAAGACCTATCGAAGCATGTATCGAACGTTAAAATTGGACGTTTCTACGGGTTTTTCGAGCGTTCACATGATTTTTGGCCGTACTTTCTTCCCACCCGATAGATCTGCTGTCTAGTGCTCTTTTGTTTCCAGGGTTTAGGCACTACCTGTACGTTAAGTTACGACGTCAGTACGTACTAAACGTTCACGGCAAAAAGGTTAACTCTCGATGACAATACCGAGCGCAACGATACAAGGCCATTCGATGGTTGCCTAAAAATAGGGGCAAAGAAGGGGATTGATGCCCGCGGAGGCAATCCGTTTACAGCCCCGGATTATGTTCAATGTCACGCAAAAAAGAGGGAATCATGAATTTCGAGTTTCAAAGGTCTTCAAAATTCCGCGTTTTTTCGCGTGGAAATTCTAAATGTTTGCAGCTGAACATGACGATGGCCGGGGATCGAGGGGAGACGTCGCGCACGCTGTTTTCTGCCCAAATCCTCGTCTTTGTCGTCGTCGGGCTGTTTGGCAATTTGAATATACTGTATGCGACGTATCAGCACGAGCGGTTGAGGACCAAGAATGGTGGGTGGGGAGTCGAATCGCTAGCAGAATGTCGAATTCATTTTGTCGAAAAACACCTTGGGAAAATGTCACTTGTCAAAATATTACCTTTTCGAAATTTATGCATCTCCAAAATAAATGCATCTTTCAGAAAATTGACAATTCAGCGCATTGAAATTGCGAAAAAATAATGTTCGACAAAGTGGTTTTTGGCATGCAAATTTTCGACACCCCATAATCTCGCTATTCAGGCATTTTCCTTGCCCAACTCGCCGTGCTCCACATTATCGCCCTGGTTTTCGAGCTGAACAATGCCTACTACGAATATTTTGCGATTCCCGTGGTCAGGGATGAGTGTTTTAAGGTGAGTGTGGCAGGTGGAAGCCAAATACCTTGCATAAATTCAGAAAATGACGCCTTTGATGCTTGTGCATGGGTGGCAGGGCTCGATGTATTTTGTGATGGCGGTCAACTTTTTGTATTCGGTTTTGAAGCCGTTAAAGTGCGTTGGTTAATGGTAATTCTGTCGATCTCTCTCTCTCTCTCTCTCTCTCTCTCTCTCTCGGTCTCTCTCACTCACTCACTCTCTCTCTCTCTCTCTCTCTCTCTCTCTCGGTCTCTCTCTCACTGCTCTCTCTCCCCCCCACTCTCTCTAGCTCTTCTTTACCATAAAATTTATTTAATCTTTGAAATACACCTCATTAGATACCGCTTCATCGAGACTTATCGCTACTGCCTCTGGCTGAACCTCCCATCGATTGCGTATACGGTATGTCGGCGACACGATTTAGAATCCGCCCAATTCTAGTTGGCGCTCTACACGTGGTCATATTTCTCCATGAACGATGACATCATTCCATTTTGCAACCCTCCACTCGCCTACCCGACAATCATATCAAAGTGGGACCTTTGAAGGGGTTAAAGGGACTGGGAAGGCGGTGGTGGGACAGTTACCCCCCCCCCGCCCAGCCGGGCCCCAAATTTTGTATCTTTGCTCCCTGTTGTGCTCGAAGGGTGTAAAATATACCAAAATACTCGACAGATCAAGACGAACATTTTGGTGTACTCTACAAGCCGTTAGCCCAACGGGGTGCCGAGATACAGACGTCATTCGTTCGGTGTTTAGAGTAAATGCAATGAGCCAGCTGCTGTTGACCCTATTTGCCTTTGGGTGCTTTATCGGCGCGTATGCAACGGTCAAATACAAAGGTGGGGTGAAAGTGTCGACTTCAATGAGCCCTTGAATTTTCAGACTTGGTCGATATTGGCAAGCAGTGTCCGCCCTGTTGTTTCCAGGGAAGTCCATTGAAGAAGACGACCTGTGTCGGATGCCATGTACGAGATAGTAATAAGGTAATATTATTATTACCGTATTTCCTCTAATATAACCCGGGGTTATATTTTTTACCCCCCCTTTTTACCCCCCCCCCCCCCCGGTATTTTTATATTTTTATATTTATTTTATATTTTTTCAATGACCTCGTCAGAAAGAAGGTTGTATTAGAAGGAGTATATATTCTTTCGTGATTTTGAGCAATTACAACTATTTTGGCAGTTCAGATTGCTCACAAAAAATTAGGAACACGGCACGAAGCTTAAAGGGGGCCCCCCCGGGGGTTTTAGAAAAAAAAAAACTCCGCCCCCCGGGGGGGGGGGGGGGGGGGGGGGGGTGGGGACGGACCCCCCCCCCCCCCCTGAAGGTGCGTTTAAAGCAACACCATTTTGGCCGTTGTTATTCTTAAAGGGGTTGTGAAATCTCATCCACGGCCCCTGCGTTGATTCCTGGCAAATAGCCAACTGCCACCGCACCGCGACCGCGCCGCATGATCTTTTGCCGCAGTTTGGACGAGAAAATGCTTGAATTTAACAATTCTGAAGCGATTTCTAGAATGCTCATCCAATTTTGACCATGCTAGACTTTTAATTATGAAAATTGACCAGAGAATCACCGAGATCGAGAAATTGGGGGGCCTTACAACGCATTACGACATGTAATCACCGCGCACACAAAATGTCGTTTTTCCCCCTAGAACTTTCGGTTCTACTCAAATATTTTACGCTTTTTCGCAACGAAATCAATTTTCTGGTACTTCTCGGTAGTAACCGTTTCCTTTTTTGACCAGCGGGTTCGATCCCCGGCCGCACGAATTTTGACTTCCGAGCCCCTTTAAAGGTAAATTCAAAAATTTTTTGGTGCGGTTATATTAGAGAAAATACGGCATATAAAAAAGAAATAATCGAAGCCTTAAACCAACAACCTTCCTGGTTACAGTTTGCCCGTGCCCTCGTCCTCCTCACCGTGGTCAGCGGGTTCGCCTGGCTATGCCTGCATTTTATGGTTTTCTCGGCATATTTCTGGACGGACAATCGGCTCTATCAGGGATATATTCAGAGCTATGCGGTGGGTTAATGCAGCAATTTAAAATATTAATCGATTTCTAGGTAATCTTTGCGCTGATCTGCTACACGCAAGACTATTTCATCTTCTATTGCCGCTCGGAGCTCTACCGATCCGCGTTCCAGCTGCAGATCAACAAGCTACTGTGCTGCGAGGTCTTTGATGTAGGTGAACAAGGGATTTCCGGGCAAAAAATGGTTACACTTTACATTACCCCCCTCCCGCCGGAATGTTTTGGCTATTACTATATATAAAAAGTAGTGCTGTGTGTGTGTGGGCCACTTTCATGCAATCCTCAGTTGTCCAGGCGCATCTCAAGCGGGGAGTAGTTAGGACATGTTTGATACGTCATTAGGAGCGTAATGGTCTAGCGATGCCTGCACGCATATCAGATTTATGAAATTCGCTTATTTTCGACATTCAATTTAAGTTTTTGTCAAAAATCCGCTCTCCTTGTTAGGAATCAATTGCATACACCGGAAGCGGGGTAGCCTATATAAAGGGCGGAGAGAGCATTTTTCACTTTTCGGCGTGAGTCGGGCCGATTTGCAAAGTGCAAAACTTTCATTGGTTGCGGGGCCAGGTTGAAAAGTCGCGAAGCGGCTTTTCAACCCTGGTAACTTTTTTATTTTACATTATTGTAGGCTCAAATTAAAACTCTTACAATATTTTTTGACGCTCTATCGAATGGCGTTGCAAAAATCCCGACAAAATAAGCGAAAATACCGAAAACTTTGAGACCCTTCGGCTGTGGGGGGTGTGTGGGGTGTGGAAGGGGGGGGGGTAAAGTCAGTGTTAACAGAAAATGATAATCCCTGAACATAACCGGTTAGACATAGATTTGACGATTGCTATTAGGTGAAGCGTCTCCATTCGACGTCCGAACAACAGCGGAGGGCCAATTCCGAGAAGTTACTCGGCTCTCAACGTTCCAGCACTGCCATAACGGCATCCTCAAACTGAAGGACACAGCTTCCATGCTTTCCTAAACACCTGACAAGGAGACCTTTTTTGTGTCGTCGGGGTTTCGAGTTAGGACCAAGCCTATCTTACTGGGGAAGTGCACACCCTGACCCTGGGATAACGACAAAGTGCATCGATAGAATCGGACATTGGGATTCCGAATCTGTACTCAGAATCTGCTAAACAAAACGGAGAAAAAGTTATGAGGCTTCAAAGTTGGCAAAAACGTCAAAAACGGTACCTTTTGGGGCCTGTAAAAAGCGCAAAAGCGGAATTGAGCAGAAACTGATGGATGCATCTTGTTCAGCAGAAAAAAGGCTTTCGGATAAATACGTATGATTTGCAAATAATTCATCGAAAAAATGTTTTTGAATTCACGGGCAAGGATAAATAGATCAGAATCATCGTAAACTTTACGCATTATAGCTCATTCGAAGGCGTTTTTTCTGCTGAACAAGATGCTCTAATGGGTTGTTGCTGAATTCCATTGCCCGGCCTTAAAGGCGCCGATTTTGGCGATTTTGCCAACTTTGAAGCATCATAAGTTTTTTCCCGTTTTATTTAGCAGATTCTGAGCACAGATTCGGAATCCCCGTCTCCGATGCTATCGGATCCACTTGCGGCTACTTGCCAATTACTGCTACAAGCCAAACTTGGTCCCAACTTAAAACCCCGACGACACGAGAAAAACGTCTCGTGGTTATGGAAGAATCTTTATTTTATCTTACCGTAAGATCATTCATTTCCTCAAGAGACCCGGCAAGAAGACCCGCAATTGTCGATTTGTCAACGATCAGACTTAGAATCCATGTTTTCCCAGACGTATTCCTCCCCACCCTCACTTGATCTCCATTCCAAGAGCTCTGTTATTTTTGTTACGAGCTTCCCCCGAACCGATTCCGACCTTTGTTTTGTTTTGACAGCTGATGTAAACGAATTTATGTACAACACAAAATGCACGAGGGCTACCCGTAGTTGGCGAGGTGTGGCTGGGGTGGGGAAGTGACAAGCAGAAACTGGGCTTAAGGCAAAATGGAAGAAACATGGAAGAAGAGGACCCGAAAGTTTGAATGTCCGTTTTTACAGGGTTTGGTTGAAGGCCCGCAGGAAGAAGAAGGCACGGAGGTAGGCATAGAGAAATAACACTTGGATGGCAACGATCACACAGACGCTGGCTCTGAAAATTTTCGATAAGATGAGCTTAGGCAGAGGATTAAGTTAAGCTTAGGCTTAGGTTATGCTTTGCTTGGGCTTAGGTTAAGGCTTAGGTTATGGCTAGGCTTAGGCTATGCTTAGGATTAGGCGTTGGCTCAGGTTTCGCTTAGGATTAGGCTTAGGCCAGGCTTTGCGTGAGCTTAGGTTCGGCCTAGGCTTGGGCTTAGGCTTAAGCTTCGCGTCTAGGGCCATCACTGGGCTTTCCACAAGAGTCTCTGCCAAACCCCCACCTTATCGCGATAGCTTCGCCCATCTTCGCTCCACTCCTATCGACACTTGCCACAGACGTTTTCTGATTGATATCGTTTACCTCGCTGGGTAATGTCAAGATTGTTGCGATGAGGGCACCTAAATGACCCGCTTTGTATTAATACATCGTTAGAAAGGACTTACCAATCAAAGCGACGAGGAGGAGGAGGGTGGCAAGGATAAATGGTAGCAGGGCGAGATGTTTTCTCGTGAATAGACCCCATTGGAAACAGGCAAAGCAGAAAAGAAGTAGACACGGCGGTACGATCACGCCTGAAAATGGTGAATAGGGGATTGGTTTTTCATTTCTCTCTCTATTTTCTCTCTCTCTTTCTCGCTCTCTCGCTCTCTCTCACTCTCTCTCCCTCTCGCTCTCTCTCCTACTCGCTCGCTTTCTCTTCTCGCCCCCCCCCCCTTCCTCTCTCGCTCTCTCTCCCCGCTCTCCGCTTTCTCTCTCTCTCTCTCTCTCTCTCTCTCTCTCTAATAATATTTGAATCCTCATCACAATCCAAAACCAACCAATAAGTTTCCCGGTGGAAAGCGGATTTTGTTTGGAGGAGTCGTTGATCAATCTGAAGGTCAAATACCCGCAGAACCCGAGAATAGCCACCATCGTTAGGCACGAGCCAATGATCGACGCTAAAATGCAACATTACAGAAACAGCGACCTGCAAAATGTCACCTGTCCGTGCCGTAATGCAACATATACGGGCCTCCCGCAACTTCGGGGGTCTGGGTGGGGTGTCGGTGGCAAGCTGACTGCTTAGACACGAGATTTTTGTCGAGGTGAAATCTGGAAAGGGATGAAATGATAAATTTTTACAGGGTGTCCCAAAAGAAGAATCCTCTGGAATTTGGTCCGATTATACTCAATCGATCCAAAAATTGGACCCAGGTTTATTTAGACCTTAAATAACAACAATCCTGACTTACAACCCGCTAGCTGCAGTAGTTATCGAGTTATAGCCAAAATACTGTTTTTTTCGAAGCTTTAAATTTCGGGCTATGAAACCCTCATCTACCCCCCAACCTGGAATGTTGAAATTTCGCGGCCAATCTTGGGTTGCGCCGCGACACGCAACGCACCCGAGGGAGTACTGTGCGCGTTATGTGTCGCCAATCCGACAAAAACCACAGGGAATCCATGATCTGACCAATCCCTCAAAACACCCACCCTTTTTCTTCTCATTTTTAAACTTTCGATCGTCGGGCAAATGGATGAAATTGCCGTCGCAGGAGAGGAAATCTGTGCTCGACATTGCTGAAAAAAAGACATATACGCCTGTTTTTTAAGGAAATTCCAGCATAAATCAATAGTATCGAAGCGAAATTCAAAATGCCCCGCCGGGACACCATAAAATCAGAATGAGGTGTGCCGTGTGCAATCGGGGGGATTCGGACCGGAAACAGGTGCTTCCGCCCGGAATTAAACGCAACGCAACGGGTTAGGGTTGCAAGTACATTTTAGGGCATTTTTTGGGTCATAAGGATCGAATCGCCATGTTTGAGAGGGCATAGAAATGTGATAATTTTCGGACGCCGCAATATGCATGCAAAAAGAGACAGCCAGACGAGGGGCCAATGAAATGTGTCGGGAATAATTGGATGGTTTGCTGTTTGTAGATTCATTGCCTGGAGGAAAGGACCGAAGGGCCAACAATACACATACATCCAAACAATTGAATATCGATGGGCTTAGGCTCGGATTAGGCTAAGCTTATGCTTATGGGCTTAGCTTAAGTTTAGTCTTGATCTTGGTATGACTTAGGCTTCGGCTAAGGCTTACGCTTAAGCTTAGGCGGGCATTGGGCTTAAGCTAGGCTTAGGTTAGGCTTAGGCTTAGGTTTGGGTTAGGCTTAGGCCTGGGCTTAGGCATAGGCTTAGGCTTAGGTTGGTGGTGGGTTGGTTGGGCCGGGGTTTCCTTTAAGCTTGGGCTTAGTCCGAAGTTCAGGCGTAGACTTAGGTTGAGGCCTATGCTTAAGTAGCGTTCTTGGCAAGTTCAACCCGATGTTTTCAGCGTCATTTCTGGCAAATAAGCTGCGGGCGGCCGCCGTTTTGGCAGCTGCAAATTTCCAGGGAGCCACCACCCTATTTCCGCTAGAAAATTCTAATTACTGGCAGAGTGGGGCAGCAGGGTAGCGCGATATTACGAGGGATAAGACCAAATATTAAGCAAAAAGCTGTGTTCCGCGAATTTTTGAAGCGCCCTACTACCCCCCGGGGCAATCCGTAGTGGTCGTGCGGAAAATTGGGGGCCCTTGCTTCAAGGATTGGGCCCTTATGCTGCTGTGTCCCCGGCTAGGGCCATTTCCGTTTTGACGCCCAAGAATTTGGGTGGGCGAAAAGGGAAGAAGGAAGAAAAATAGGGCTGTAGAAATGAACAAATGTACCGTGGAGCAATGAACGAAACGAAGAAGCTAGAGTTTTATTCAGTGCGCATTCTCTCTCACTAACTCACTCTCGCTCTCTCCATCTCTCCCTCTCTCTCTCTATCACTCACTATCTCTCTCTCTTTAGCTTTCTCTCTCTCTCTCTCTCTCTCTCTCTCTCTCTCTCGCTCCTCTCTATCTCCCTCTCTCTCGCTCTGCTCTCTCTCTCTCTCTCTCTCTCTCTCTGTCTCTCCTTCTCTGAAATAATACTCATACTCCGCCGAATTCGCCCCCATAATCCAAATGACCTCGAGGTGAACGTAAGGAAAACGCTTTGCGAGGGGCAAGAGGGCCCGGATGATTGGACAAATATTCGAAAAACGAATCAAATATTAGCGGAGACAGGGAGATGGGGCTGGGAATGGCTGGGGGGGGAATGGTTTGTCGACAAGCTTATGGGAAGACGAGTATCAAGGAGAATCGGGAACCGTTTTTGCCTGTGTCTTTCTCTCTCTCTCTCGCTCTCTCTCTCGTCTTGCTCAGACAAGTGCTTTTATGATGAACGAACCCATAAATTCACCCTCACCCCTATGGGAAATGAGCGGCAGCCAGTAGTAGGGGAATTTGGGGGAACTGGCAGAGATCATTTGGGAAATTCGGGGATTCCGAGGAGAAATTTCATACGGGATAAATCGTTTGACATGGTTCACTGCACGACTTATCAAAAACTAAAGAGCACGAGAAAGAGAGAGAGAGAGAGAGAGAGAGAGCGAGAGAGAGGACAAAATAAAGGAAAACATGATAAAGGGATGAAAAGGCAACAGATTCCAGGCTGGCTCCAAGATAAGCATGAATCGGCGGCGGGGAATGAAACAGGCCACACACGTCTGGCCGCCCTGGTTTCACCTGATTCACTCTGCAACTACACCAAAAATAGCACAGAATGACGTATCATTTAGAATTCCTAAGTGCTCTTTTGATGCTGATCATCTGGAGCATTGGCCAAAGCTGCACGCACAATTCACAAAGAACTTTGGGCCTGTTGATTAGGTCTTTATCGCCTTTTAAAGGAACCCACAAGGCAGGCCGGTATTGGTCTGATAGCGGGGGGAACGAAATTTCCCCAATTCCGAATGGCCCTTTGCCAAAATATAAACTATTTTTGTCAGATTGACACAGTTTTTAGATATAAAAAGTTATAGCACATTCTCAAAAGGCTCGAAATTTCCTTTTTGGGTCAAAAATGTATTAGAATGGCTAAAAAATGCCAAAATTTTCAAAATTCAAATTTTTTAAAATAGCAGTATTAGCAGCAGTCAGCAGCATAAAATATTTTGCTCTAGATGTACCACAAATTTTTAATAGAAATGGTGAATTTAGCGCTGGAAAGCTGGCACGGCTATAAAAACCAACAAAAATTGTGCAAACGTCTCTAAAAACAAAAATCTGTATATTCCCATCCCTTTAAAACAGTAAAAGCAAAAAAAATCGGAAAACAACGAAGAAAAGACCATCGGCTTGTAAATGCTGGATACAGAAAATCCGGGCCAAATTTTGGATTACCGTAATCCCGCCTGGAGCCGAGAGGCCATTTAGAAAATTGAAGCTCCGATGAAATCTGACGGACAACAAACGGAAAGTTTGCTTTTCACCGGCCCCCATCAAAACATCACGCCCAGGTATGACTTTGTGATAAAAACACAGCAGTACGTATCAGTACGAAAGACGGGGGGAGAAGCCCGGAAAATAGAGGAAAATCATGATGAGACCAGGACGAAAAGCACACGGGGGTGTGAGTCAGGGAAAAGCAGAAGAAGGCGAGAGATCAAAATCATGTTTTCTGTTCACTAGCGAGAAGTTGACTTTCTTTCCCAACCCCTCCCACCCAACTGGTCAAGTGCCAATTTCTATTTTGCGCCCCCGCTTTCTGCGCCGCGGGTTTTTTTGACACAATGCCACTTTTGGAAGCGGGAAAGATGCTGGAAATTGATAAAAAGGTATTACATAAATTGTTTAATTAGAAAATACGCTTTTGCGATAAAAAAGCGCGCTTGGGGTTGAAAGCTACGCCAGGAATAAATTGACAACGAATGCTGTCGATGAGAAAGAACGGCAATTTGCTCTTAAAACACGGAATTTTTTGGGGGAAAATCGGCTTCTCAAGAGGGAACCACCCTCCCCACCCGCCGCCCCCCTCGACGGCCGCCCTCCTCCCAAGGCCCCCCCCCCCCCCTTTTCAAGCTTTTACGTCCTGATTCCGAATTTGGTTTCAAAATTTGCGAAACAACCGCCTTAAAAATGTGGGAAGGTTTTAAATGTAAAAGGCCCAAAAAGGCCCAACCTTTTTTTTGCGTTTTTCGCACTGAAAAGTTTCATAATTTCCCGCGGTAAAAAAAATATTTTTTTTTTTCTTTCTTCAAAAAAGAAAAAGTTTTTAATTTTTTTTTTTTTTTTTTTTTTTTTTTTTTTTTTTTTTATTATATTAAATAAAAAATTAAAAAAATTTTTTTTTTTTTTTTTTTTTTAAAAAAAAAAAAAATATTTATTAAAAAAAAAAAACAAACCAAAAAAAAAAATTTATTTTTTAAAATATTTTTTTTTTTCCCTTCCCCTTTTTTTTTTTTTAAAAAATAAAAAAATAAAAAAAAAAATAGAAAAAAAAAAAAAAAATATAATTTATTTTTTTTAATTTAATTAAAAAAAAAAAAAAAAAAAAAACCTTTTAAATATTTTTTTTTTTTTTTATTTTCTTTTTTTTTTATATTTTTTTTTTAATTTTTTTTTTTTTGGTTTTTTTTTTTTTTTTTTTTTTTAATTTTGAGTTGGAGGTATTTTTTTTTTTTTTTTTTTTTTTTTTTTTTTTATGAAAAATTTTAAATAATTTTTTTTAAAAAATTTTCGGGGGAAAAAAAAAAAAACCGAGCTTTTTAACAATCAGGCTGTTGGAAATTTTGAAACGAGGTTCGGAATCGGCGTAAAATTCTGCACGAGGTAGAAAACTCGGGTATCACCAAAAACCTCCGCATGAAAAAAACCGTCGAGCGTCCACGGTATCCCTTCGGAATCTGCTATTATGTTTTGGGGGTTTCGGAGGATAGATAACCGGGCAAGACACACGGAAAATGTTCGGAACCACCACCTAGACGATTGGCTGGATGCGGAATGGAGTGCATGCGGGAGGGGGTGCTTGGCATGGCGGGTAGTAGACGGAATGGCCGTCGCCGGTTCTTCACGCGGATTACGATTTAGGCGGACGGGTCGGAGGAGGAGGGATAGGAGCGATGGGGGAAAGACGCTTAAGCCGGCACCATCGCCAAGTTGTGCCGGGTGGCTGGGGTGCACCGGGGGAATTTGGTGGTTTGGCAGAGGAGCTGAACAGCCGAATTAGGGCCTAGCCGGGCCGCGGTATAAGATCTACAGGGTGTCCCAAAAAAATCTCCCCTCCTCTAGCCGATCGCAGTCCTGTCAGATTTTTACGATTTAGGCATCTATCGAAAGCTCTCGGAAAGGCAGGTCCAGCGCGGCAATTTGCATCACAAAATTCCCAAAAAATTTAACATCTTTGAAGTTTTTCTAACCACAGGTTTTGTACCAAAATCATAATTTAGGAATTTTTCAGCCTTTCCTGGCAGCTCAAATACAGCTTTTTGAAAGCCGTTTGTCTAAACTCAGCTTGGCCAGCGCTTGAACCGGTTAATTTGAGTTTCGACAAAATGCATGTCCTTTTCTCATGAAAAATGCCGTATATCGAACAAAAATTACGAGATTTCGGAAATCGGAGTAAAGTGCTAGATTTGGCGTTTCGAGAGCTTTCGATAGATACCTAAATCATAAAAATCTGACATGTCTGCGGCCGGCTAGAGGGAGGGGAGGTAATTTTTTAGGGACAGTC